TGACCAGATTGGTCTTGAACTTCTGATTTCAAATGATCTGACTGCCTCAGCCTCCCAAAGTGCTGGGATAACAGGCATGAGCCACTGCACCTGACCTAAGCCAACACTTCTGAAAAGAAGGCCAATAAACATAAGAATAAAAGCTCAACATCACTGATCATCAGAGAAATGCAAATCAAAACCACAATGAAATACCATCTCACGCCAGTCAGAATGACGATTTTTAATCAGTCAGGAAACAATAGATGCTGGTGAGGCTGCGGAGAATTAGGAATGCTTTTACACTGTTGATGGGAGTGTAAATTAGTTCAACCATTGTGGAAGACAGGATGGCAATTCCTCAAGGATCTAGAACCAGAAATACCATTTTACCCCGTACTGGGTATATACCCAAAGGAATATATACCAAATACCAAATCCCATTACTGGGTATACACCCAAAGGAATATAAATCATTCTACTATAAAGGCACATGCACAGGTATGTTTATTGCAGCACTATTTACTGTAGCAAAGACATGGAACCAACCCAAATTCCCATCAATGATACACTGAAAAAAGAAAATATGGTACATATACAACATGGAATATTATGCAGTCATAAAAAGGGATGAGATCATGTCCTTTGCAGGTACATGGATGAAGCAGGAAGCCATAATTCTCAGCAAACTAACATAGGAACCGAAAACCAAACATTGCATGTTTTGACTCATTAATGGGAGCTGAACAATGAGAACATATGGATACAGAGAGGGGAACAACACAAACCAGAGCCTGTTGAGGGTGGGGAGGAGGAAAGGAACATTACAGGATGGGTCAATAGGTTCGGCAAACCACCGTGGCATTTGAATATCTATGTAGCAAATTTGCATGTTCTGCACATGTATCCTGTTTTCCTTTTTTTTTTTAAAGAAGAAATGAAGGAAAAAAAGAGTAGATGATAATATCAATAGTAATTTAGAGAAGACTTTTGTCAACTCCAAAGTTTTATTTCTGGTTGATTCCCAGTTGTCACCCAATGTAACTTTAATGAGACTATTAAGCTAATGAAATGTTGGACTAAAAGAAAAAAAGTTAGCTAAATATACACATCACTTCATGACATACCATGCACTATTCTAAGTGTTTTACAGAATTAATTCACCTAAAAGTCACAACAATCTTATAAGATTATTCTCCCATTTTTTAGATGAGGAAACTGAGGACCGGAGACTTTATAGTCACAAAACTATTAAATGGCAGACATCGGATACTAATCCAGTCAGTCTGGCTCTAGAGTACCTGATCTTAGCCACTATACCACACAGCTTCTCCAAGGAAAACAGAAAATGATTAATTTTATTTTTTGAACCTGATTAAAAATGCCTGTAAACATTTGTTTTTCAATTCTGAGCTCTACATAAAAATGAAACTCACAAATAATGGAAATTAAGTAGGAAAGTCCCAATGAGGCAAGATAAACAGCTTTTGACTTCAACTTTACAGTAGAGGAAATTTTGATAGTAGGACAGAGGAAGCAACAAGCAATTAAAGAACTTCTCTGTGATTGGAAAGTATATTCCAGGCTGCAATCACCACAGGGTTAATCTGTTCGTGCTTTAATTCAAGAAGTCTTGTACCACAGAATGCATTCCTAAACATTTATTTAATATGTGGCAGGCATTTTGTAATAATACATAGGCACTTGGCAGAAGACAGCTCTATCTCTAGCATTCCTCCATGCGCACATTTCATTAGAAACAAATGGCTGAAGCCATAGATATATGCTTTATAAAGATACGATGCTACAAAGCCTGAACTTCAAGGAACGATAGATAATTGCAGAGCACCATCTGTCCCGGTGTATCTTTTTTGACCCAAAAATATGGCCAGTTTGTGGTAGAGCAAAAAAATCTGCATGGTCTGTGGAATATGGTATTTGAAAGCTGATCCATGGACCATATTGGACCATCATAATAAAAGGAAAAAATGACACAGGCCAGACCAAAATGGAGACATAGCTCTAACCACTGTATTCTGGAAAGAGCCAGAATACAGGTGTTCTTCCCTTACTGAACCAGACTAAGATTGCTTTTTAAAAAATCACAATAACCAGTAATCAATCAAAGAGTTCTAACTGCCTTTATTTTGGATCATACATTCTGCTAGGCGATACCCAGACAATAACTGCAGTGTTCCTGCCTGCCTAAAGGTAGAATCCTTGGTTATCCTCAACTGAACTAGGGTCTAGGGCAGCCTCAGACAAATGGTCCAGGATGACAGGCCAGGCAATGGACAGGACACTTCCACTTGCAGTCTAGTTCTTGCCAGTATGATCTGCCCATGAAGGGAAGGTGTTGACATTTTATTACTTCTAGCAGGACAGAAATTCTATGCCACACACTCGGGGCAAGTTTCTCTAATGTTTTGGAGAAACACGAAAATAAGCAAGCATACTTTCATAATAAAGGAGGACCTTAAACAGGTAGTTTGTAAAGAACATCACATTTTTTCCAGCCTTATTATAGATGCAGCCTTACTCCTAGGAACAAGGACACGGGTCTCACATTGCTTTGAAGTAGGAGGAAAATCTTCAAAGATTACCTTTAAACACTTTGAAAATGTGTTACTGTAAAGAACTCAGTAATTAAGTAAATCTCAGGAAATCCCCAAGATAGAAAGTAATTAATGCGGTTTTAAGAAATGGAGCCATCAGCTCTGCCTGGAAGAACAAATTTCACCAAATGTTTCTTCTCTCAACCTATAGCCCCAATTTAATGCAACTGATGCTGCAATCCATTATATCAACTGGTATATAAGCTATCTGACCAGCACTTCATTCAAGTCTGTCTTTCTCTCTTTCTTCCTTCCTTCCTTCCTTCCTTCCTTCCTTCCTTCCTTCCTTCCTTCCTTCCTTCCTTTCCTTTCCTTCTTTCTTTCTTTCTTTCTTTCTTTCTTTCTTTCTTTCTTTCTTTCTTTCTTTCTTTCTTTCTTTCTTTCTTCTTTCGTCTCTCTTTCTTTCTTTTTGAGTGCAGTGGTGTGATCTTGAGTCACTGAAGCCTCACCTCTTGCCTGGGTTCAAGCTATTCTCCTGCCTTGGCCTCCTGAGTAGCTAGGATTACAGGCATCCCCCACCACACCCAGGTAATTTTTGTATTTTTATTAGAGACGGGGTTTCACCATGTTGGCCAGTCTGGTCTTAAACTCTTGAACTCAGGTGATGCACGTGTCTTAGCCTCCCAAAGTGCTGGGATTACAGGTGTGAGCCACGGCTCCTGGCTGCATTTGGTTTTCTGAATAATTTGATTCATTATATTTTGGGCTAAATATATTGTAAAATATATTCTACTTATTTATTTTTAACTTTAAAAACTCAAATATTTCTAATAATAATGTTAAAATATACTTCTTATTTAATTACATGGAGGTTGCTTGGTGAAAATAATATAGGAAAAAATACCACTAACATTTTTTGAGCTCTAAATATATACACTTACTATGCTAGGCACTTTACCCATACTATTACATTTGCAGTCTTCATAGTGGCCCCATCATTTAGGTACAATTATTATCTCAATTGTACAAGTGAGGAAACTAAAGATGAGAGAAGAGACTAAATCAAGACCATGCAGTAAGTGGGAAGGAAATTAACCCAGTTCTGACATCCAAGTTCACTTTTGCAAACACCAGGTTGCACATTAATAAATGTCATACTCCACCCTTAGGGCAGTTTAGTCCTGAAACTCATTGGTCTTAATTTCAGAGAGTAGTTTATGTATCCTTCAAATGGGGATGAATTCTATTTAATAATTTGACTCCAGTTGTAGCTATGTGACTACCGGCATCTGATGGAAGGTGAAAAATTCAGCTAATCATCTAAGCACCTAGATGACTTAATACTAGATACTTGCAAACATAAAACTGCTTGGGTAGCTAAGGATTTTTTTTACTTTGCACTTGGTTGTGTGGCGTCCTGGCATCATAGAGACAAATTCCAAACTATGCATTTTCAAATTACAGATAGACTTTCCATAGAACCTCAGTGACCATATTTTCTAATTTAAAATTTCAGTACACAAACATAAATGTGTGCTTGTGGGTATAATAAGACAGAATATTTAAAACCTGAAAAATTGCTGGGTGTGGTGGCTTACGCCTATGCTCCCAGCACTTTGGGAGCCTGAGGCAGGTGGATCACTTGGGGTCAGGAGTTCGAGACCAGCCTGCCCAACATGGTGAAACCCCGTCTCTACTAAAAACAAAAATTAGCTGGGCATGGTGGCAGGTGCCTGTAATCCCAGCTACTCCAGAGGCTGAGGCAGGAGAATAGCTTGAACCCTGGAGGTGGAGGTTGCAATGAGTCGAGATCACACCACTGTACTCCAGCCTGGGTGACAAAATCAAAACTGTTTCAAAAAAATGAAATATAAATAAACCCTGAAAAATCAGAAGCTTTTAATGAGCTACTCATAGGCTTTCCCTCTTGATGATACGTGGGTTCCTATGTCAATATAAGGTAGCAAGTGACTTTTCTCAATCGGTATTCTCAAGGCATACACCCTACTGAAGCAAGTATAGAGATTTTATTTAGAAACAATATTTTCCGAGAGTAACTCCAACATCTGTCCTAACCAAATAAGCACTGCAACTCGGCTTAGAAAGAATGAGCTATCTATTCATCATCAGTAGGGCAGCCAGAGCATTTTCACAAGAAGTAGTGATAGATTTGTACTTAACTATTTATAACATCTACTCAGTTCTCTTTTCTTGCCATCAACTTGTTTTTTTAAGAAAGTTACCCAAGCTATGGATGCAATGCGTGCATTTTAGGCAGGTGAATACTATGTTCTAACTTGGTTTATGCTCTACGATGCCTTCGGTAAGGAAACATAACTGCTTTGTTTTATCTATGATTACCTACTTAGCACAAACATTACACCGGACTAAGCTCAGCAGGGAAAACTGTTGCCTCCAAGCCTCCCTGAGAAATGAAACCAGAAATAATCTAAGCAGGTGCCTTACCATGGATTCTCCAGATGTCCAGATATGGGATTAGGAAGAAGACCCCAAATAATTTCCCAATTCCGAGCATGGCAGGCAATGTCTTCATTTCCTGCACATAGCAGGGATGGAAAAACTGCTCAAGTAGAAGTCTTCTGTTCGTCCTGAGTTCTGCAGAGTTGGGTCAGTTTACCTACCCCAGTGGCATCTGTGAAATTAAAAAAAAAAAGAAGAAGAGAGAGAGAGAGAAAGGTGGTAAGAGAGAAACATAGGAAGAGCCTGGATGTTTTTGTGAAACGAAGTGAACAGAAAGACAATGTGGTTCTCTGCTCTGTGGTTTTTGCTTCTTGTTAGGTTGGCTGCTCACTTTCAAACACTGAACTGCAAAGCAGCTCAGTCCTTAACTTCTCCTTCCGCTCTGCTACCTTTTTGCCCCAGCTTGAGGTTTTTCCTGTGCTCAAAGTGAAATGAGCAATTAAACTTTAAAGAAATTTACATTGTTGCAGTCTTTGAGATTTTAATCAAACTCAGGTCAGGAAATTTATGTTTAAACTATCAGTGGTAACTATACACTTTTCCCTTCATAATAGTCTGTGATTATGAAACTTTTTTTATGTAAAAGATTTTAGGTTTCTTTTTCTTTCCTGTACTTGTCACGGTAAGATGAGGATGCCTATTGTCATTAAACCAGTGAAGACTTATCTGAGGTTATGGAGACAATGAGTGACAGGAAGTACTTCTTTAACAGAAAAAGGAAGAGCAGCCGTCTTTAATCTGTGGATACATATCAATGGAACAAGATCATCATTAATATTGGCTACACGTTCTCTCTAGAAAATAAAGTTCTAATCTAAAGGAGATCTTGAATATCAAGGAAAGGAAATTTCCATTTTAAGCATTCATCATACAGTTGTTGTCTTAATGAAGTAGAATAGAAACCGTAAAGGAAGAAATGGAAAAGTTCAAGATCAGATGGCACAGGCCACCATAGGGCTGTTTTCTCCACAACCACTTGTAATAACTAGCTTAGCTTATAGTCATAGGAGATAATCAAATTCACCTGCCATTTGAGACTCCAAATGAGAGATCTAGATTTGTGGCATTTGTGGTCATTGACAGAAGTAGATTATGTAAGTTTTAGTTTTTTCCTCAGATACTCATGATTTTTTTCCAAGGCCAAACTTCAGTGGTTTTAAGTACATAAAATTAAAAAAGTTATCACATATTTATTGATTCAAATAGACAATGTGCTATAGTTGGAGATAAATTATGAATGAGTTGCTATTGCTGATTTTAAAGAACGCATTCAGCCAGTATTACAATTTCCTCACATTCAACTTTAGTGTTGGTCCTATAATATAGTATAATACAGAGAGGCTCCACATAGCCTTTTAGAATTTTCATTACCAATCGGATAAACATCCTGGCAAATATTTGTGCAGTATTTACACAGCTCTTTCATTTTCCCATGTTCACAGTAGAGTAAAAGCTTCCTGTGGCAGCTGAAGCAAGGCTTACTGTCCCTTTAAAATGGTGCACAGGTCAAAACCATAGCCCACAAGCTCAGGATATTGTCCCAAACTAGAGAGAGGTCGTGTTAACTTTATCTCAGCTTGAAACTGTTATGTCACTATTTTAAATATTTTTTTCATTCTAGAAGGTCCAAACTAATTAGACAAAATTTGGAAAAACCCTCATGTAGCATCTAATGCATTTAAATATACATATATTTTCTTGCTTTTATTAGCATGCCTACTTCTTTATCCCTCCACAGCTAGAGTCCTGAGAGTCCCACTGTAGATAAAACTCTGCCTCAGATTCTCACTCCTATCTTTGTTCTAGAAAGAAAAAATGGAAAGTAGTCAGACTCAGAAATTTGTTAACCCATTAACAAGTCAGTCTTGCCTTAAGCTTATAACTTTTGTAATCCCATCATAGTTATGTATTATTTAAAACAAAAATTATAATTTTCATTTACATTTGCAAATTTAAAGAATTTACTACATTATCAAAAGTGATTGCATTACATATTGAAACAATTCTAAAAACATGAACCTATAATTAGTTTTATGTTGAAAGACAAAAAGAGAGAATTTGGTTTCTTCACATTCTTTTTACAAACGTCTCAGGAACTACCTGGAGGGCAAATTTTTTAGTTCACTTACAGACTCAGTTGCTTTCAAGAATCATGAAGCAGCTATACTTTCTGCTAGGAATATTTTTCCCCTAGGTGATCAGAGAACCAGCAATCACAAAACATGACGCAGGGTCCTGGAAAAGTCTTGCCCCTGATGTTAGAAAACCCAAAGAGATGCATCTTGGTTCTGCTCTTTTTTAACTACCCCCCAAAACATTCCATAGCTTTACTGTAAATGTAGTCCAGCATTTAAAAACTTTAACATTTTTCTATTTGGTGTAATTTTTTAATTAATGTTATTGTTAAAAATGATTTCTATACATGACTGTACTTTATAATCAGCCTGAGTACTTTTAATAAAATGGGTGGAATTTTTGAATCCTACCCATTTCCATTGAATCAGAATTTCACAGGGTGAAGTCCAGATATCACTATTTTTAAAAAGCTCCAAAGGTGATTTTGATATATTAGTTTGAAGGAATATTTAGAAACCAATTATGAGTTGGCAGGGGACATAAGTTTTTGAATCACATAAAACATGGTATCAAATCTTTGTCACTTACTAGTTATTGGACTTTTAATAGATTTTCTATGTTCCTAGAGTCTGTAGTAGACACAGAGATGGAGATGCACCTCTCAGATCCCCCTTCAACACTGTATTTGCTCTTAAGTGGGGGGGATGCAATAGGTAGAGTACCTCCAATGTAAACTTCTCCCAGTTCTGCTCAGCTGAGACACACCTTGACCAATGTCATGCTTTCCCATGACAGCTTGCATCCAGTGATGGAGCAAAAAGTGCTGGCCATTTTGACCTGACATGGGAAGCTGATGGGCAATACTTGATCCAGAGTTCCCAACTGAGTTTGCTAAGGGTATATTAGGCTTGCAGCCCAGCTTAATTTCTTCCTCTGCTCTCTTCCTTTCACAGTTGTTGATCTCTAATCTATCTTTGCTTCCAGAGAACCAAATCTGCTCCATATTTCAATTTCCAGTTATGTAAAACATAGAAACAATACCTATCTGCTTTGTTGGTTAACTGAGGTGAAATATGCAAAATAATCAGTAAATTGCAACTATAATCATTCTGGAACCAAGAAGCCCTGTATTAATAAACCCAAATGTAATGATGGTGGAACAAGTTGAAAATATCTACTTGCTAATGGGAGTCATTGTTGCATGGAGATCAGGACTCTAAAGTAAATGTCATAATAAAGCTTTGATCAGCAGAGGAATGATGTAGCTTAAAGGTGACCCAAATTACAAAAACATTTACAAGGATGGATCAGCCATGCAGAAGGGCCTTAGGTCTCTATGTAGCATCTCATGCTTCCATGTCTTATGAACTAAAAATCAAGTTACATGCACCCAACATTCCCATGACAGTGTTTAAAAAGTTTCATAGGCAATTTTTGATTGTTGAGGAAAGTGTTATTTGCAAAATAATAAAACATAATAAAGTGAGGAAGCCTTCCTTTTAGAACAATTGGTCTCCCCAAATGAAGAAAGAATATAGTATTCATAGTTCACATTTTTATTTAACAGTAATCAATTCTAATTGAATGATATTTAGTCCATTTTTGACAAAGACTGCTATGGTTTGAGTGTGGGTGTCTCCTTGAAATTCCTGTGTCAGAACTTAACCCCTAAGGTGATGGCATTACGAGACAGGGGCTTTTAGAATCTGATTAGGTCATGAGGGTCTGCCCTCATGAATGGAATTAATGCCCTTATGAAAGAGGCTTCAGGCTGGGTGCTGTGGCTTACATCCGTAATCCCAAACTTTGTGAGCCCAAGTCAGGAAGATCGCTTGAGGCCAGAAGTTCAAAACTAGCCTGGGCAATATAGTAAAACCCCTTTATCTAAAAGAAACTTCAAAACTTAGCTGGATATGGTGGTATGTGCCTGTAGTCCCAGCTACTTGGGACACTAAGGCAGAAGGATTATTTGAGCCCAGAAGTTCAAGGCTTCAGTGAGTTATGATCACACCACGGCACTCCAGCCTGGGCAACAGAGTAAGATCCTGTCTTCAAAAAAGGCTTCAGAGAGTTGCCTGCACTTCCATCTCTTCTACCATGTGAGAACACAACATTCATCCCTTCTTGTCCCCTTTCACCTTGCTGTCAGGAGGCAGTAAGGAGGCACCATCCTAGAAGCAGACAGCGACCCTCACCAGACACCGTATGTGTTGGAACCTCGATCTTGGACCTCCCACTCTCCAGAACTGTGAGAAATATACCTCTGTTCTTCATAAATTACCCAGTTTTTATAGTGAGCTATGATCATGCCACTGCACTCTAGTCTGGGTGACAGAGCAGGACCCCGTCTTTAAAAACAAAGGAACAAACAGAAATTACTGTTTTTAAGGTATCGTGTTATACCAACACACATGGAAGAAGACCGTCATGTAAGTTTCTGCAAAGATTTTTTTCTAGGTCATGGTGCATCAATAGTCTGTTAAAAAGTTCCTTTAAGCTAAGAGGGAAAATGTCAATATGACTAATTTTCAGTTTTTAGAGAAATAACACATACACCCCCCCACACACATGTTCCTATTCAGAAAAGGGAATACAAGAAACATAGGTAGCCTGGTCAATAGCCAGGGTACCCTGCTGCAGCAGTAGGTGAAGTTTTTTAAGTAGCCCATGCAATAGCCTCAGCCTCTGCTCTCTGAAAGGTCTTTCCAGTTTTTAAAAGTAAAGCTCAAGGGGAAGCAGACTCGGGGCAGAGCCTAGTATGCAGGAAGTTTATTAGGATGTGCACTGGGGATCATTAGTGTGAAGGCAGAAAACAAAACTGAATTCACAGAGGGCAAAGGGAGACATCAGGATGTGATAGTCTCAGCGAAGGCCTCAGCAAAACAGAAGGAGGTCTGAAGCTTTGATCCTTTATAGAAGACTGACCGCTGAAGGCTCTTAGCCAGGAACACTCCCAGCAGCTGGAGGAAACAAATTCTTCAGTCCTGGAGAGGATCTGAATGCACTACACGAGCTCTCTTAACTTGATGACCACAGCTGAGATGGGTATTGGCGAGGAAGGCTTTGGGGAATGCACAGCTTCATCATTCTACTTCCTGTTTGTGCAAGTTAGGGTCCAGGTTGAGTTTTGGTGTTTAACAGAGTCTATTATAAAATAGTCTTAGAGTTCTCTCAAACATCTCGTAGTATTTCTGTCTATTGTCATTCAGTAAGTTTTGTGCACAAATAACTTCAGTTAAAGAACCTGTGTAGTCACGGATTTTTCATGCCAAAGAGACTTACTAGCCATTATGTTCTGCCCAGTCTCCAGTCCCATTACAATGACAGCTACCCT